TTAACAGGAAGATGTATTCCAAGCACATCAACAGAACCGTCAGCTTAGCTAACAGGATGAGATGTTTCAATAGTAAAGTTTGTATTTTTTATAGACCCAACCCTCAAGACTTTGCATTTATCATAATTTGGTTTCAACCCAGAAATAATTGCAAAATTAGACAAAATACTTAGCAACGAGTTAAGTGATTCACGGGACGGATACGTTGGGAAATTCGTGTCATCCGCAAATATTATGGTAAATATTAATATGTATTTCGGTATAATGTAGATTTTACGATTGATAATAAAATATGTCATAAATAATATAATCTGGTCGCCACTGTTATAAAATGTGCTGCGATTAGAAATTGCAAAAAGGTAACCAATGACAGATGAAGTGCTATGTGGCTATCCAGGAAAGATATAAATCTACACAACTAGTGACCAAACTACTGCTTAGCAAAAATGACTTTGTCTGTTTATTAGCTTCTTACCATGAGGCTTAACTGATAATAGTTTACACATGAACTGAAAGCCTTCACAGCTAGCCAAAATTAATGGAAACAAGTCATTGTCAATGACACGTCCCCGTTCCGTTCATATTTGAGTGACATATACATTCAAAGCAGATCATGACCGAAATGCACCTGCATATGTACAACACATTGTACTAAATCTGAACAAAATCCATCCATGCATGACTGAGATCTGGTTCCGGAATTGTGAAAATACGTGATTTTAATGCATTTTCGGTCTTAAAATGGCCATCATTCAGCTATTGTTAAGCGGATCATGAAACAAATACACATATCTATTTGTGACATGATGCACCATGTGTGTGTGAAGTTTGAACTTGATCAATCCAGACATGTCTTGGATACGAATCCAGAACTGAATTCTTTAAGAAAATGGCCGCCAGTCGGCCATTTCGAACTTGATCCGGAAAAAAAAATGACGTGCATCAAGGTCCTATTATGTTTAATGTAAGTACCAAATTTGAATGAAATCCGTCCATGCATAACTGAGATCCGGGTTCGGAATGGTGAAAATGTGCGATTTCAATGCATTTTTGGCCTTAAAGCGGCCGCCATTTGGCTATTGTTAATGGGATCATGAAACAAATGCACATACATATTTGTGACATGATGTACCTTGTGTGTGTGAAGTTTGAA